AAATAAACAGGTTTATAGGATTTATTCCAAATTAAAAGTGAACAAACACCTTTCCCATACTTTCTTTAGGTAGCATTTCCTCCAAACCCCTCACCTTTATTCAGGGTGTATGAGAAGTTATGGAAGCTGTAGGCCTAAATTCCACCCTACGAAGCCCTCCCAGCCCCGGGTGCGCCCTGCGCGGTCCGCAGGCGCTGGGACGCGGCGTTCTCCCGCCGGCGGCGGGGCGGGCGAGGAGAGGTGCCATTTGGAGGGTCGACGCCCACCGCGCCGGGGACCTCGGAGCGCCGCGGGCAGGCGGGCGGGCGAGCGGCCGCCACCGCTGCCCAGAGGGACGCTTCTCCCCCGCAGACTGCGGTGCCCCCTAAAGTAACCTGTTGACGGCTCTTTGTAAATAAATCGTGAGTCACACTGACTAGAAGTTACTTTATTGTGAATATTTAAAATGGAAAAGGTTTTTTTTGGAATTTGCTATAATAGGATAGACCTCCCGCCCACCCCTCTTTCTAACCCCAGCCATCACCCCCCACCCTCCCCACACCTTCTAAGAGCTATTCAAGCTACACAGGTTCCCTTTTCCTTTTGAACTTAAAATTTGAGACCGGTAGGGGAGAAAAGTGTTCTATCACCACCCCACCCCACTCCCGCCCGCGCTGATAGCCGCGCCTCAGTTGGAGTTTGTGGAATCCCACCTTTTCCCTGCACCCCTCTCGCCTGCCGGGCCCTGGGTGTGCGCAGGGCACCGGCTCCCAGGACTTGAAGTAGAAGAGTGGACACGGGAACGGCCTCAAACCTGCCTCTGGCTCCTCTCTGAAATTGCACAGTCGTTTGTTGCTATTTATTAGTGATTTAAAGAACGTATTTGGGAGGGAGGGGCTACAATAGCTTGTATTTAATTGAACTCCTTTCTGATAAAAAAATGCGTGTTAAAGTAGATGGTGGGAATTGTTACAACCATTCTGGGTCAGAGACAAACAATCCATTTAGTTGCTGTAATTGAATTTGAAGTGTTTTGTATCATAAGAATACTATAGAAGATGTAAATTGTTTTCTTTTTTAAGCTAATAACGGTGACCTATTAGCATCTTTAACCTTTATTAATTTATATAAGGGATTCATTCGGTTTGTAAAGAGAAGAAAAACCCCTTTGCAAGACCAGTTAAATGTAATGCACTTTCTGTTTCGAAGGATAAATCAAATTAAAAACAAAGCAAAACAGTTTGAAGACGTCTGTTGCCTTGAATTAAAGGATACAGATCACCAAATCTCATTGGAGAACTCAGTAAAAGTCAAAGCCACAAGCACTTGTAAAAATTTTGTTTCTTGAGTTAAATAAGTGCTACTTCATTTCTCTCTCTTTCTCTCTGAAGGAGGTGGGTCACAGCTCTTTCTTTTTGGCCTGGGAAAGATACCAAGAAATGCGAGCCCCTCTTAGAAGACTTCTTGGAGAGACTTGACTAAATGTTGTCTAGTTTTTTTCTGTGTTGCCTAATTTTTTCCTGATCACTCTTTTTTCCCCTTTCTGAAGAAGTCCCTTTGGGAAGAACTCATTTCCATAAAGCCAAGATAGCTCCTCAGTCAACTCCTAGTTCGATTAGGCGGCAGAGCTCACTGGTACAGCAACACTGCTATTTGATGCTAAGGTTCCCCGCCCCCACTGCAGCCTGTAAGACTGCAGAAGTCAGTGGAAGAGGAGCCCAGATTTTTCCTCAACATTACGTTTATGGAGGATGCATTTAAAGAAAGTTCTAATTGATGTGAATGCCATTGGCTTAAGGAAGCGATGCCATAGCTTCTGTAGCTGCAATTACAAATAATTACATAGAAAAACCACAAAGGGACATTCCAGTGAGAGGGCTAGATCACTTTCTGGGGGTCTTTTTGTTTGGAGTCATCCAGCTGCGGGCTCAGTGAAATATAGTTATTTATCCTCCTGGCGTTTCAGGCTAATCAGCGTGTATTGAAGGAAGGGAAAATCAATAAGATTCGGTAGGCTCCCGTTAGGTAAAGAAAGTGTATCTCTGTTTTGTTCCCTTAAAAGTAAAACAAAACAACATCCTGGAAACCTAGGAGTGAAATTGACTGAAAGAAATGATTCCAGAATCCGCTTCTGATAACATGGTTTAATCAAAAAAAAGGATGTGCGTCTGCTTGGCTCCTCTCTCGCTCGTCTTTCCTTTCGTTTTCCACATCTCCAAGAAGTTTCAAACTCCTTTCTGAATGTCTGCCTCTCAGCAAGACTAAGGTATGTATCTTATAGAGAGGCAGCAGATTTGAAGGGCCCATAGCATGACTGGGCGGAATACTAAGATTCAGCTAACTAACTGTCACCTACCTACCCTTCTCTCTCCTTTCTTCTTTCTCTCCCTTCCTGTCCTCTTCTTGTTCTTTCTTCTCCTCTTCCTTTTTTTCCAGATGTTTTTATAAAAGAACTAGGAAGGCAACCCTTTTGCTACAAGAGCTGCATTTTATTTGTGGATTTGCAACAAATGCACGTCTCTCTTTTTTAACTTCCACCCAACCCTCTTCTGCATTGAAAAGCCAAGCAACTTTTCATTTTTCCTTTATTCCTAAAAACCAGTCCAAACCAAAAAATTACTATGCAATTAAAAAATGCTGTTCCTGAAACAAAATAAAATAGTAATTATTATTAGTTTTACTGTCAAAATACTAGCAGATAGATTTTTTTAAATGGAATTAAGATTGAAGTTTTCTCTCAAGAAATAAACAGGTTTATAGGATTTATTCCAAATTAAAAGTGAACAAACACCTTTCCCATACTTTCTTTAGGTAGCATTTCCTCCAAACCCCTCACCTTTATTCAGGGTGTATGAGAAGTTATGGAAGCTGTAGGCCTAAATTCCACCCTACGATACAGGTGCTGAGGCGGGTAGACCAGTCGGTTTGCTGGCCAGGCTGAGGGAATGTTGCTCTGCTTTGGGCTGTGTGGGTAATGGCCAGCGTGGGCTCTGCTACACTGGCATGCACTCTTCCCCCACCCCCTCCACCCCTTCCCTGACCATAGTCCTAGCAGAGGTTTCCAGTAACTTTACGTCTCCCTCTGACTCCAGCTGGCCACCAATTGTCACTGGCCCCATAAAATAGGTAGAAGGAGGGAGAAGAAGGTGGGAGCATCTTACCTAATTCCCCTATCTTCTGGGGTTTGCTTTCGTTTCCTGCAAGGAGCGAGCCCTAGAGGTGTAGTGTGCTTACATGTTGAATTGCTAACTACAAGGTTGCAGGAGACAGATGAGGCTGTCTACTTGTCTCCCCTGCCCTATGGCAGTGAGTTTGTTTTGGTTTCGCACATACAAAGGCACTTAAGAGTTAACAGGGTGGTCAAACTTTACAGTCCCGAGCACTGAAGAGCAAGACTCATTTTTCATTTATTTTTATTTTCGCATTAGCAAACAAACATTTTCATGGCACCAATAATTATGTGTATCTGACTTATAGGGCTGAGGAAGTGCTAAAGTTGAAGGCTAAAGGGTTCCTGTTTTAAAATTTAAAAAGACACCGCAGGTGGCCTGATGGACCACTGTTTTAAAATAACAATGCTTACCGGCAGCAGAATGCCAGTGGAGGGAAAGAAAAAGAACAAAGCAACTATTTTGTGTGTGTTGTGTAAAGAGCCCAGGTAGTGCCAAAGTTAAGTGTCAAGTTGTGAACTGAGAGGTTGGTGGTTCAAACCCACCCAACCACTCTGGTGTTCAGGCACTCTGCTCCCATGAAGGTTACCAACTAGAAGATGCTATGGGGCAGCTGAACCTTATCTTATTAGATCACTGTAAGTTGAAATTGACTTGGTGGCAACTAGCTACAGTGTTTGCGTGCAAGCATGCGCGCCCACCTGCGTGCATGCATGCACATGCACATGTGTTGTGTCGTTTTGTTTGATCTCAAAAATGAAAGCATCTGTAAGGGTACGAATTGGAAGGGAAGGGTCTTCAAACAGCTTAGCAGGATTCACCTTTCCCAGCTCCTATTTCATTCCCTTTCCAAACCCCAGAGTCAGTTCTCCTAGTTGTTCTGAACGGATTGGAGCAGATTGAGAGGCTTCTGTTGCTGAGCTCTTTGGGAAGCTGTGGAGTCAGACTTGTGAGCACTGGGTCCAGTTTTCCTTTCGTGGCTTGAGAATCAGTGGCACGACGGGAAACCAGAAAGCATCTATTTGCTTTGGTGAAAGGGTACTTTCCCTCATCCCTCAGCAGACCTGTAATTTGGAATGGAGGCCAAGGCCAGTTCTTTTGGAAATACCTTACAAGGTAACAGTCTGAGGGTGCATTTGAAAGCCTAATATAATGTAGCCAGCCATGTACTTTCTTCAATGAGCATCAGCTTAGGGAGAACCATGCTGTCCTGTCCTCTAAAGGGTCACCATCATTGAAAACACACACACACACACACACATACACACACACAGTGAAATTCCATTTGGGAACTCCTAGCACTGAATAGCTTAAAGAGACAGTGCCTCCTTTGTTAACCATTTACAAAAGGTGGTGTAATAACAGAGGTAAGGGATACATTTCATCTATTACGTCTATTTTGGTTGATTTGAACAGCTAGGTGTGCACTAAATTTCTTCCATCTTAACACACACGTACTCCTCTTGCCTCAATTTGATTTTTTAAAAAGCCGTTCTTCATTTAGTTTCATTTCTTTTTTTGCTAGGAAGTGTGATTTTTTTTTTCCTGCAGTATTTAGAGGGAAAGTTTCACAAGTAAACATATTTTCCTTAAGTGTAGCCGTGTTTTTTTTTAAAAAGCTTTAAAAAAAATACCCAAGTATATGACACACCACACACACACACACACACACACACACACACACACTAATGAGAGCTGGAGCAGGGAGTGGATTGACGCTCTGGCCAGGCTGATAAAAGGGTGGGGATTTTCTGAGTTGTCACTTTCAGCCTGCTGCAGATGGCTTGCAGTGGTTCACCAAGTGGAAAGATGATCTGAGAGACTCAGCTCACTGTCCGGTTTTCCTCTTGGATCCAACAGTTCAGCCGCTCCTCAACATAAAATGTCTAGATGCGGTACATGATTTATTCTCTGCTCTGAATCAGACATTTCCATTGAATACCATGCTCAAAGACTATTAAAAGGAGTGCAGGATGTCTCTCTGGTGTTTAATATTTACTGGGGCCTGGCCAGAATTCTGAAACAGAATCCTGCGCCAGAGCTATTTTAGTGCACTCTGAATACTGAGAGCTAGTTTGGATGAAGGTACAACATTTCAAAAATGACTCCCTTTCTCATTCTAGAGAAAGCAAGTTTTTATAATCTGATTTAAATAGGTGCATATTACTTTTTAATAGAGGAACCTTACCCCCCTCTCTATGAGCCCTGGTGCATGCACATTGGAGCACGAAG